GGCGATGCCTTTTTTAGGCCAATGTCATTTTGGATGTGTTTTTACACCACAAAACGCCCCTGAAATCGTAACTCCATTGTGAAATGACAGTGCGTTCGGGGACCCGGAAGTTTTAAAAAAACAGATCTTTATTCTTTTTTTTCATGAACCCTTAACACACTTCCACTCCCTCAGGCGTGCCACTCCTTTTCACGCGTTCCACTCCTTCTGTGCCATCTGACCCAACTTCTGCAGTTGGTGCTTCGACGGTGTATTACAGCGCCACGCAAAGCTATACATATATTCTTGGATGCGCGTACGGCGCAAGAATCGATTCCACTGATCCCCAAGACCTATGGATCTTCTCAGTCCGTCAAAATCATGCACACTAGTCATGATAGCTTGTGCAGACTCTAGCCCCACATCATACGTGATGTTCTGCCTCAAGGCTGAACATTGTGCAGACATCACTTCATGCAAGTGATCCAAGTACTGCACATCATATTGAAGCCATGATGACAACACAGGAGGCAAGGACTGGCGTGTCAGATGCAAGAGAATCAACAAAGTCAAGGCGAGGACAGCTTCCTCAATCTTGAGAACTCAATAATGGGGCTTCAAAAACTATTTGGTGCAAGCGCTTCAAAACAAGGTTTGGATACGCCACCAACTGCGTGGAACATAACGGGGTGCAGTCATTCGGATTTACATGATGGGTTATCAGGGGTCAGACCGTTCTTAACCACCACTGGGAATATCAACTTGGTTTGCTAGTGCAAGCGAACGTTAACACCCCCCCGATCCCCAACGTAGTATGAACTTGGTAGCATCAACTTGGCTTGCAAGTGCAAGCGAACGTTACACCCCATCCCCGGCGTAGTATCAACTTGGTTTGCAAGTGCGCGCGAACGTTAACAGACACCACCCCATCCCCAACGTAGCATCAACTTGGTTTGCAAGCGCAAGCGAACGTTAACAGACCCCACCCCATCCCCACACCACCCCATCCCCAGCGTAGTATCAACTTGGTTGATGGTGAAAACGTGGAAATTCTCCGGGGCCGTTAGGGGGGCGTGAGCCAAAACAAGCACAACAATAGCAGGAATAGCAAGAAAGGCAGGAGCTACCACCAAGAAACAATGAAACAGCAAAAGTAAAACAAACACCAAAAACAAAGCAACAAACACAAAACAACATGACAAATCATAGAGAAGAAATGAACGCCAGAAAAGCAACAAAAGGGCAGATCCGACCAAAATACCCTAACAAAGCCCAAAAGCAACAAAAACTACCCGAACAAACAGACCTCCCTTCTAAATGCAGGGGACCTGTACAGGAAACCACCACTTTGTTGGAAAGTTGAGTCCGTTAAGTCTGTTGGATCTTGAGTTCTAGTTGGGTTATTCGATGATGCACGCATCAAAATGATAGCAAATACCTGGACCATTCCATCGACAAATTGAGTCGCGCACTGGTTGAAACTTCTGCCTAAGCAACATGGAGTAAGTTGAGTCGTCTGGCACTAGAGACATGTTTGTTCAAAGCACCACCGAAACGCGACAAGTGGGATCTTCCGCTTGAAACCCAGCTACTCCTGGCACCCAGCTACGTACTTCTTCCGCGCGTGGGAACGGCCCAAGGAACGGCGCCGTTGTAGGTGCTCCGGAGCTTTGCCGGAACGAACTGAACCTGAGGCCCGGCGACGCCCGGCGACGTCGAAGCAAAAAGATCGGTCTCTGGAGCTGCCAGAGTCCCTGCTGGCTGATTCTTGCATTTCCAGGGCCCAGGGCCCACAGTTCAAAGGAATGATGCAGCATCTGAAGATAACATGTGAAATATCCCCAAATCTTAGAACGATATGATTGAAACAACGCATCCACATGATTTATGCCGGCTCTATGTGAACTTGAAACAGCTGAGCTCACGACGCCATAGAAAAACATACATCCGACCTCAAGCTGCATGTCAGCGCAGCAAGTGGTGAAGGGCGACAAGTGCTTCGCAAAGTGACAGGTTGAAATCATGTATACCTTAAACCTCCGGTGGTTGCTTTTCTCAGCCTCTTAGCAAAGAGGCTCAAATGTTAGCCTCTCCATTCAAGATTTGCCGCTTAGACCAAAAACTGCCTCTCGTGTTTTTCTGGTAGAAGGTAATTTTGTCATTTTTGGTGGTAAAATAGTATCGGTCAAACCCAAGCAAACAGAGTTTCATCATGCTTGCTAGCAACTGCGTCCAAACCCAAACCAGCCGTTTGAGCTTCATCATCAGGCCCGGCGTAACTCTCCGAGGTGTTTGGCGTTTGGATGTCTTTCAAGGCAGAGTTCATAGGAGTAGGCAGTTGCTGGATTTGCAACCTGAGCGCCTGCAACCGGCAGAAAACACGGCTAAAATGTTTAGCCAGGAAATGTTCAGACCAAAACACTGACTAGAGGTGAGTAGCAATACCTATAGAAACGAACAGCCCCACCTGCGGTTGTTGGAGCCATGACATCAGGGTTGCATCGTCACCATCAAGTTTGTCCACATCTTTCTCTTCTTTCACTAACGTCAAGCCAGCCATCAGGGTCGAACTCGAAAAGACACGGGACGGAAGCTGATACGCCATTTCCCCTTTTTGATTAGAGACGAGCCTGAAAGCGGCAACCTGTCGACTTCATTAAAGGCTATGCAAAAAAAATCATGACCTGGGAATTCCGCCTCTTACCCGGGAAGTTCCGCCTCTTACCCGGGAAGTTCCGCCTCTAAATAACCATTCTCCGTCTCTCTCTCTCTCTCTCTCCCTCTCTCCGGTGGAAATCCACCGACCTCAAGGGGCCCGCTGACGGCAGGTGAAGCACGGAGGTGCAATTCATCGTTGGCTTCCTCCATCATCTCACACCCCTACGCCTGCCTTGCATGAGAAAAACAAACACCCAAGAACCACCAGCACCCAATTTTCATCGAATACCGCTCAGTATGGTCAGGTAGAAACCTTGTAGATCACTCTCCAGTCCAGTCTTGGCTGAACTGGTGCCATGTTACCGGGCGTTCCACGGCTGAGCTCGCGAGATCGGCTGAGGTTCCCCAGCGATGGGCAGGCCATAGGCCACGCGGAAGATCTGAGGGAGAGAAGGGGAAGTGGAGCTGGGACGTCAAATGGTCTGAAGCTGAAAGCTCCAAAAAGCCTGAACCCCCCTAAGAACATAATCATAACGCAAGAGCTTTAATTATTTAAGAGCTCTCTTTTGTTCCTTTCCCTTTTTGCTAGCTTTTGCTGTTGGCCGCGAAAGAAAAGACATTTAGTGAATTGAGGTGTTCTTTTTGGGGTGACATGATGTGTGTAACTAATCTGAAAGGCTCCAAATCAATAACCCACAATGTGGTTCTAGCATGTTCCAGTTGTTCAGCAAATCTGGTAGGGGTGGGTCAGGAGGGGACAGGCAAAAAGCTCGTAGCTGCTTTGGGTTCGGGGGGGCACCTGTAGTGACTGGACTCTGGGTCTGCAGGCCTCCGTCATGAGATCTGCTGCAAATACATAGCTCTTGCACGGCGGCTTTGGCACGGCAAATCGCTGTCTAGCTTTGTCTGGCTTTGGCTTCAGAAGTTGGTTTCTACGCTAAATCAAAGATTACATTTAATAATTCTTCATCGTAGAGAAGAAAATGGTGGATTTCGTGAGTTCCCCCTGTCCGTCCCAAGGTAGAAAAGCGGCATCTCTGTAACGACTTGGCTCCCATGGTCATTCGGCATGATTCGCGACTGGAGCCACCTCATGAATGTGGATTTGGCTCCTCTGGAGTTTCTAGAATCATCCTGGAGTCGTTCGAATGTGGAGCAATCCCCAGAATTACAGCACTGAAAACATACTGAAAGTGTTCACTTTGCACACGCTGATGCATCACAATGCATCACCGGGAGTAGGACCCGAACGAAAACTGCACGCCACCTGCACGAACGTAACTCCGCCACTTTTTGCGCGAACTCCACGAAGGGCCCAGCGACTCGAACAACGACCTCGTGAGTCGAAACAGGTTGCGATCAGGACTCGAGGGTCAAACCCCTATAGCCTAATAGCATCTATATACTGTAATAATATTCTATGATAGCTATCTCTGTACTACCATGCTGGGTTCATGTGGGTTGCCTGCGTTCTATTCTTTTACCTCGTCAGAGTCATCAGTCATATATGGCTTCGCAAAAGGAATTCTGGGCAGCGACGTGAAGCACATGGTTGAGACGTCGCTTATGGCTGTGATTTTTGTGCCACATGCCACGATTGTTTCCAGAGTCATGCAATGGGTCGATTGTGGGCCCTTTCTTATCAACATTAATTGGAACCTGAGATGGGTGGGTGTGTATTTTAATCCATAGGGAGACCGAACCCCAGGCGTTCCGATCCCCTCAAAAGGTTCGGGAAATACACCTTACATGGGCCAAAGGGTCTTCCTATAAAAATAGACACCCCAAATGGAAACCCCAAAACGGACGAAACTGCAGACCCTTCTTCAGCGGGTTGAGCTCCGCCTGTCTCCTTCAAAAGGCCTTCTCGGAAGACTTGAAGTGCATTTTTGAAGTGCCAAATGATGGAACCGAAAGAGGAAAGAACACCTAGTGCACTTCATACGAACATGGTTAAAGTTAAAAGTAATCAGGATTAAACACATTGCTACAACATGATTGTGACCATTGAGAATTTACTTTCGGAGTGCTAAGAATTGACGCGAAGTGAGCGAAAAAGCATCTGTTGGGCCCCTCATGGCTCCTACGATTGGCGGACCGGCACACACAAACACCAGTAGAAGTTGAAGCTTCTTGCTACTACTAGCTTCTTGTTAGTAGTAGTAACGCCAGGCGCTACTAATAGCTTATTGTTTCTAGTAGCGACGCCAGGAGCCCCTAGTAGCGTCCGATCGCTCCGTTCGTAGCGATGCCCAAAATGCTCTTGGTCGCTTCTTGTTCCTATAGTAGTAAGGCCAGGAGCTACTAGTAGCATCGTGCATGATTAAGTGAAGAATGGTGAAGATCTTCCTGGATGGAAAACTGTTCAATTGTTTGGTAATGGTGCACCACTGTCCAGCAAACATGGAGACACTGCCAAAGCACAGCTTCTGTGAGCTTTGACACCTATAACGGCATCCGCCGAGGTCAAAATCTATCGCAGGTGCTCATGCAGCACATCCCCTGGCGCAAGGAAGAGTAACAGTAGTCAAAACAGCTACCTACAGTACAACTGTGATGTCAGCAACAAGTGGTCCAAACACATGAGTATCATGCGGCAAGAACCGCATGAGTCTCATGCGTGCCCATCCTTCCAATTGGGTTTCGGTGATCTCTCTGGGTAGCATCTGCAAGTTGGGCATCAGCCGGTGCGCACGAAAGCACCTGGAAGATCGCATAAGCCTGAGATTGGAGAACAATGACCTTAGGATACCTTAGGTCCTTAATAGATTCATTTAAAACATTATACAACAAATTTTATATCTACTGCTACTGTATATAGTTGTTGTAAATAACATAGATATCCAATACCCTGCCAGACTTGCACTTCAAGGAGCTTTGGCTGCTAACACGGGCGGAAAAGAATCAACCATCAATGCCTCCCGTGTTCGCCTCCGTCCTTAGACAGGACATCCGCTTGGAACCCACCCATCCCCCCAAATCAAAAGTGAAGGTACTGAACCATCCCACTGAAAACTCATAGTTGAACTCCTGCTCAAACAATTCGTGGCATCTTCTGGTGAAATACCTGGGTGGCTGACAAATTCCCAGGTGCTCTCTGCATCAGGATCAGCAACTGCAGCCATAAAAATTAACACAAAAATACACAAAAACACATCACGCTTAGCATCTCTTAGTCTTAGCCACTTTGGCACCTTTCGACCACCCCCAAAACCTTCCAGTGAAAGCCACTCCGCAACAAACAACACAAAGCACCAACCCTCCAGTGCCCGGATAGACCGCCAAACACGCCAAAAAAACAAAACCACCTGAGCAACGCCATGCTCCACACCCGCCCCACAGGCCTCAAAGCTCGCTTCTGAGCTCCGAGACCTTGCGTGCCTCATGGCTGCCTGAGGCCCGGTCCACCTCGGAGCCAAGGGAGGCCGAGAGAGCCAAGAGAGCTCGGAGAGAGGCCGAGGGCTCCGTCTGTGTCCGCCAAACGAAGCAAAGGAAATCCCCCCGAGTTGCAAGTAGTACTTGCAGATCTTGCGGGGTCTGGTACTGTGCTGGCTGGAAGCAGCTGCTTCAAACCATGCTTCCCCATCCCGATCTTCGATCATCAGCCCCCCCCTGAGCTCGCCACCATGGTAAGGACCTTAGGACAGCTCACAAAGGTGACCCCTGTTCACGAGCAGGCGCGCTAAAATGGCTGCCTCAGCCTGTGTTTTATTGTTTTCTTTGTCAAAGGTCCCAAATGTGAGCGGCATAGCATGGACTCGAGGCGCGCTGTTGACCAGGTTGACGTTAAAGTCCAGTGAAATGTCAAAAGTCTCTCCACTTCCTTGTGAATTCGTCGATTTCAGCGAAGCCCAAAACATTCAGCGAAGAATTCCGGTGGCCAGTACGGTGCTGGACAAGGGTCCTATCAACGGACCTATCTAAATGGTCATCCAAAAAGGTGGACCTGGTCTCCATCTTCGGAGTTGACCAATCAACATTTGCCTGTACCACCCGAGATATCCATTCACGCCTATATATCTGTATCCTAGGATTCCAACGGCGGATTTAGAGGCCTTTCCCAAACAACCATTGTTTTACCAAGGGTTTCTACAAAACCATGTCAACCGTTCTTTCAATGGTCTTGCAAACCCAGGGCGAAAGATCATGTTGATGATTTCCTGCGCTACCAAGAAACAACAGGAGGATCTCCTGCCAACTGGCTCAAAAACAGCTATGATAAGTGTACATAAGTGGGTGTTCCCACCTCATCTGAGGTTCCTACTTGCTCATGGAATTCTTCCCTCGAGGTTCGACCATCGCGACGTACCTTTCGGTGCTTGAGCCCCCACTCGGAGCTTGCCCCCCGGGAAAGGCTCCCCACTTCATCGCCCTCCTCACCTGCGAGGGAGAGGACTAAGGGAGGAGACGCGTCCAACAGCTCGGCCGAGCATGGGAAAACAAGTCAGCACCATGCTTTTTGCAAACAAATACAAACAACACACACACAAACACCAAAGACACCCGTGCTTCGTTCTAACACCGCCCATCTCGTTCCGAGTTAAGATAAGCCTAACATGATGCTCATGGAATGTCCACCTCGTCCACCTCGTCAGCATTGTCTCCAGCAGCTTGTTGCAAGCTAGCTTGGGCATCCCAAAGGAGTTCGGCAGAATTGCATGACAGCACCGATATGGGGTCCTGAATGATTTATATCATGCAAACTCTTGATGAATAACCCCCTATATGAAGAGGTTGTTCAAGCCCGAGTTTTTGGGACGTCAATGAAGAGTACACATCTGCGTCAAACGTCAGCACCCCCCAACCAAAAAGCAGGCTCGGGGCCACTGGCGGCCACTGGCCCGAACCCGAAGCGATTGGATGCTTCGATCAAACGCATTGGCTGGGACAAAAACAACATGTTTTGGGCTCCATGCAAGTCTGTGGTAGTGAAAGATTCCAGCAGTTCGTCACCCACTTTAGAGTCTTAAGTGACCGCACGTGAGCCTTTTGTGACCAGGCCCTTTTGTGACCTCAACCAGAGAAAAAGGATGCAAAAGGTCACTTGGAAGAGCCAGGTTGATTGATGTTCTTTAGCACTTTGGCGGTCCTTAGGCACCTCAATGAACACCAGCAACTAACTACACGTTTAGCCGCCTCCAGCCCCTCAAAGATCCATGATGACACATGACGTCAATTGGCTCGACCCAAAAGGCTTGACCCGACCCATGCGCTGTCTCCAGCCGTCTCCAGCCAGCTATGCTGTCACAGCTCAGGTGTTTCCAACCACTGATGGAAGTTGGGCCCCTCTTATCAAGCTCCCAGGCTGGCTGGGCAAGCATCTTGGATTTCTATCACTCCACATTCAACAAACATGAACACCAACATTGCAGTAGATTGTGGAGTGTCGTGGGCTGTTTGCACCTGAGGAAGACCAAAAATCTTGGACGGGGCTCATCGGTGCGTAGCCGGAGTATATAGTACCCACCGTGGCAGTTTGTTGCGCACCCAGGAGAGTCGTGGTCCCTGCCTGACATCATGGACTGGATCCTCTGGTAGGCTGCCTCCAAACAAAACACTGCACGTCTACACATCATGTCTCCAGGCCAATTCTGTGCAGAATCACCTCAAGAAAGGATCAACTGAATCCAATGTGACCAAAGCCCTATGCTTGACTTGCAGTGTCATGTAAGTACATATATATATATATATATCATATATATAATGTCTTGTTCATGTTTGGTTTATATATTATATATACATGTTACTCGGGTCCTGCTTGGGGTTGGCATCAGCCGCTCACACTCTAACAGGCCTTGGAGGCCTTCTTCGAAGAGCTCCTTAGAAGCAAAAAACGGCGAGGCGAGGCTTAAGGCGAAGGCAATGTTCACTTGGATGTGCTTCAGGAATCATGGAAAAGTCAATCTCAGCAAAACCAACTCCAGAGTGAGGATGCATAAGGCATAGTTCTATAAACGATGTGTTCAGCTAGTGTAAGGACCTGGGTGACCGCATAATTTCTACATATCCAGAAACTTGGGAAGGGCAAAGTATCACTGATTCGATGTGTGTTTGTTTTTCAATGTTTATCTCGTCAGCCTGAGGGATATCTGAACCTTCAAACGATGCCAATCAACCTCCTGCAGGACGAAAACCCGGACCTTGCTGCTCGGACCTTGGACTGTTGGGGAAGGCTGGGTCCAGTTTGGGGGAGGCCATAGTTGGTCTTCCAACCCGGGTGGGGAGAACCGGTTCTGCAGTCGTCTCGCACTCCCAAAAAAGCATGTTGCGTGCAAGCAAATTCCACTCCGTCCCGCTGCGAGATGGTTGCAGGACATGTCAAGAAGGAATTTCAATTGATTCGGACGAACCTCAATTTGAGTTGGGATTGCAGGAAACCACTTCAGCCGAAAACCTGGCGCTCCCCCATATCAACTGCTGAGGAGCAAATGCTTTCCATACCGGTCCAACTCCTCCAGCTCAGGGCAGGCCTTAGATGTGAACATCTCATAACGGAAGCTCGGCAAATGGCTCGGCTAGGCTCTACCATTGAGCCATGTGAGCAATTGTTGGGGCGCAAATGATAGCGCTACAGGCTATCGGCCCACAGGTCGCAGGTGGCCAAGCGCCAATCGTAGAACGGCAAACATGAACCTACTAGTAGCTCCTGGCATTACTACTAGTAACAAGAAGCTGCTAGTAGCTCCACTAGGACCCACTACTGTAGGAGGTCAAGTCAACGGAAGCCCGGCGAATCTTCACAGTAAGGCAACCCCCGAACAAAAATCTCAACGAAAGAGTTTATTGTTTGGGGGGGTTCATGTTGAAACACTACAAATATGTTGAAATCCATCCAATTCTCTTTCGCAAACTCTTCCGAAAGCATGGAAGTCAGCGAGGCTTCAATGCTGACCCCCTGGGCCAGCGGCGGCAGCATCTTCACAGAAGTACTTCTGCAAATACTCCTGCCAAGCCCAAATCGAGTTCTGTGTCATTACTTCCGCACAGTCACATCCCCTCCATATCCCCTCCCTCTGCTAGAGGAAGTTCAGTGAAGTTCATACTCCAAACCCAATGCAGGGCACGCGATGGAGCTTATTCAGTAGCACTTCCTGGAGGAGACGGACCAATCCAGCATTGACCCCTTGGAAAAGCAGGATTCTGGAGGACACACTGCAAAACCGCCGGGTTCCCAAGCATGCTATAGTCTCGTTTGTACCACCTCTAATGCTGGCCATCGGGAATACGTCCTGATGCCAACTTGATATCTCGTGATATGTCCAATTGAACATCATGATGATATTACTGTAACAAAATCAATGTATCGTGCACCAGCTTCTTCAAAGTGACCATTCTGGAGTCCTTAAGTGACCTTTCACCGGCCCTTTTGTGACCTCAAACCAGGATATCAAGTTCAGTCATGTTGAACAAGCAGGAAATTCTAGATCAATGCCTATGGATATAAAATGAAACCATGGGTCCTACAACTGGCCATGCAACTCCCTTAAACTCCATCCACCGCTGGAAGGCCGGGAAAAAGGAGTTCCCTGTGGATTCCGAAGCGAGGGCTGTACGAGGCACCTTGGATAACCCTACAACATCGACCCTTACACATACTCACAGAGAGTTTTTGGAGGTGTTCCCAAACATCGCCAAAATGCTCGGTCCGCACAACATGAGCCGCGCCTTCTCGATCTTTAAGGCCGTCTGCACCCATGAGCTTGGCTGACGATCTCGAATGCTTCGCAGCCTCACGCTAAAAGCAACTGCAGAAACGAAACGTGGATTATTGAAAAAGGGTAAAAATTCTACTGCTAACAAATACATACAAATACTAACAATGAACTAATACTTGGCCTGGGATATATTGTTCAATGGTTTGTGTGTATACATGCAGTTTCTGCGAACTTGTTTTTTTTCTGCGCCATGCCCCCCCAAAAAACACAATGATTGTGGAAGGGGGTGCCTTGCCAACTGCTCAGCAACAAAGACAATGTGGCAGAATGTGCGGCAGCAACGTCGTCGTATTGGTTGTAAATAAACAGTGCGTCATCAAGTGAATCCAAACTCCGAGTCCGAGCACACCCTCCTTGAACGAACCGTTGGCGCTTAATCGTCACAAACCCAAGTCATCTGTCCATGTGAAGCTCCCTGCCACGCCTGTGAGACCGGGACTGTATCACATTCCAATGCAGGAAGTTGTACCTGAACAGTGCGGATGGGCTTCCCCAGCTTGCTGGTCTGCATGTCCCCGTCTCGACTGCAGTCTCAGTGGGGGGGAATGGCCACAGATCAAAAGCACACATGGCTTGCCGACCAACATGTCAGTCAAGCTGAACTCCCAGCAGATCTTCCCCAAACCAAACACATGATCCACTCAGCAAGCGAAGAGTTCCTAGTGGATCCTGGCCTATCCACCCTCCAGGCAAAAAGACTCCCTATAGATATGCCAACGTAACGTTACTACACCACGAAGCATCATGTAAAGCTACTCCCCTTCACGGTTTTGCAAGATAAGGCAATCACCTGACAAAAGCCAAATGGCTCAGAGGCTCAGAAAACGTTATAATTCACTCACCAGCAGGTGGATTGATGCAAAGGAGGTGGGACAAGGCAAAGTGTGGAGAAACACACAAGCAAAGGATGGAGAGAACTTGACTACCTGTTGATGGTACCGTATAGCCGTATGGATGGCATGAACAAAAAGCACACCCCAATAAAAACATCTAGGCCAAATGAACAGAGAGTGAAAACGGCGCAAAGTAAATCCAGGGGTGTATAAGTAGTGAACCACCGCATCGAGTGACTGTCCAAACACATTGTTGTCATGACTCAAAGCTGTGCAAATTCATTAGGTCAAGGCCCTTCTGATTGAGCTACTCAATGTCTGACTGATTGTTGATTGTTTCTTGTTAAAAGTGCCCCTCTGATAGCGCAGGATTCAGTTGAAGATATCCCAGATTCAATAACTTTATCGATCCGAAGTACGGGTAGTTCGTCCAATCCAAATCAAGAATCGCAGGAAGTGGGCCCCTTTGGGCCCTTGGACGAATTTCTGAACTGTAAATGGATATATAAAAAGAAAACGACGCCACAACGTGCAAAACCGTCATGATGCAAAACCGAGTGTGGGGTTTGGGAGCTCACAGCCGGGGTCGAAGTTTGGGAGAAGTTGCACTGGCTCTGGACATGTAGGACTAGCTCCGTGGCTTCCTGAAGATGACAGCCCCAGCTTGGAAGCCGCTCCTGAGTAATATATCCAATAATATAGACTCTTGATTGCTGTGCATTTCATCCCCCGTAGATGTGGATAACCTCTTCATATAGAGGCGGGTTGAAATAGAACCAAGACTCCACATTATCCTAAGTCCAAGCAAACCAGGTGGCTCTCTAGGTCTCTAGGTCTCAAGTTCTTGGTGGCTCTAGGTCTCCCCACGCCAGCTCTTCCAGCGTCACTCTCTGGTCTCTGTCCAGGTCATGGTACTGCAAGGCGTCCTGTGCACGTCACTCCGCTCCGCCGCTTCGTGGTTCAAACCATCGGTGATGAAGTGTCCAAGTATAGCACACACCCACAGGGTCGTGGTTTCATGCTTTTTATAGAGGTCTGCACTATGTTGTATACTATGTTGTATATTTCGCAGAGTTTTATCTTTGGTGTCTTTCTGGGTTTTCCTCGTTCCAATGCCAATCAGCTCAAAGGATCCACCGAGTTCAATGATCCACTCACTGCACTCAGCTAAAAGAGAACGACAGGCCTCAGCCCAAACCTCCATGGCCTCCTTGTAGAGCTCCTCAACGACTTCACCCACCGAGGTGGGAGAGATTGGGCATGTAGCTCAGGGCCAAGGGAGACCGACCCCCCAACAACGAGCCCCCCCCGGGTTCGGAAGCTAGATCTACCCAGATCCAGTGGCGAGAAAGGGGGCCTCCCTATTCAAATACACTCCCATATATATATATATAATAACACATCTCCACCAGTGCTAGGAGTTCCATCTCGGGTCTTCTAGGGATGTGATGTTGACCCTATCCAGGTGTTGTTTGTTCCTTCGGCACTCCATGGAACTGCTGGATCAAAGATCTGATCCTGAGGGGAAATTCGTGACCTTTGTTCTCACGCAAAGGGCGTCATCGGCGGCTTGGGGGAAAGAGGTGATTAGAACCCCCACCGGGCGACCAAGAACCGTGCTAAACGACGAGAAAAACAGCGAGACGTCGTATCCAAATCTTGTGACCTGTTCGGCAAATGCTCCACTACACGCATCACTTCACTTATTATGAGCCCGTAACAGGTGAGGCCTGATTCTGCCAAATTCACATCTACAGTTTATAAGGCTCAACATGGCTCAACAACCCATACCCACCGTGTCTCTCCTAAGAAAAAACAAACATTGACACTTGTCAACGAGCACGTCATCTCACGGAGCGACTTCCGGAACTTCCTCCGCCGGTCACTGCACCGAACTCGGTCAACGCGGCACCTCCTTCTGCTCAGGTGAAAGGAGTTTCTGCCAGTTGTACCTTCACACAGGTGTCAAGGAGCGGCCAGATCACCGTTCCTGATTTGGGTCATGGAAAGGGGTTGGTCCAGGGTTCGTCATGCTGATTAGACTTCTTTCTTGGCAATTTGTCTCTGAAATCCATTTCCCCAAATTAGGACATGGGACATTCAAAATCCCAGTTTCCATGCGAAATTGACTTTGGTAGGAAAATCAATTCATAGATCAATCCCAAACACTCCATGCGACTGGCATGTATGCCGTCGCATGCCCCCTGAAGCCACTACTTACCCTAACTGATCCGGTATATATATATATACATATGTATGTATGTATGTATGTCAGTTCCATATGTCTAGCCGACTCCTGGAAATTCGGTCATCACCGGCTCGTGGCTCCGCCTGAAGTCGCCACGGTTCAAGACTTCCTGCAGACGACCGACTCGCGGTCCTCCGGACTACCCAATGTTTATACAGTATAATTACCTGTAAATCTCCATTGAACACCCCTTTCAAGGTTCAGGTGTAAATACGGGTTTTATGTATTTTAATGTTGTTTAATGATATAATTTAAGTAATGTTGTTTAATGATATAATTTAAGAAGATGTGCTTGATTACAAAACTCCACCAATATCACCATGAAGATCGTGAAAATAAAGAAAAGGCAATCTGCAACATTCTGCAACAGTTTGTCACTCATGTCACTCCATACCCGTGGCACTGGCAAACAACCTTGACAAAGCCGGGCGTGTACTGATTCCGAGTCCGAAACTCTGCACCCCTCAGGACTCTTGGCAAAATCTCATGGGGTGCGAAGCGCACACGCGAAACTGCTGGATCTATACCAGGAGCATTCCAAGGGTTCAATTGTCTGAGCTAAATTTGTGCACAAGTCCTAGTCAATGTCCTAATTAGGTAAGGGTTTTGTAATTCAGAATTGAGCCGGGAATAAGGGATGACGCTGTGGGTAAAGTGACCAGTCCTCACGGAGTCACCCCGGCCTATAGCCAAAGCCTAGGCGGGGAGGCGCCTGGGACACCGCAGGGTGAAGCAGTTGGCCAAGTCTTCAAACCCCTCGGCAGCAGGCCTGCCTCTTCTCTTCTAATCGCAGGCCTGCCTCTTCTCTTCTTATGGGCTTCCAAAAGCGACGTTTTGGCCTACTCCTGCACCGCAGCCTTGCCCTCTTCCTCTTCTCGGCAGCTCGCAGGCCTGCCTCTTCTCTTCTTATGGGCTTCCAAAAGCGACGTTAGGCACTTTGCACCGCCTTTAAACCCCCCGCGCGGCTTCAAACCCTTCCCAGCGCCTTTGGCGTACTCCTGCATCGCAGCCTTGCCTTGCCTCTGCGTCAGGCGGGAGCCTGGGGAGAGAGCCTCTGGAACGTGCAGCCCGTGCACTGCAGCCCCAGCGCCTTTGGCCTACTCCTGCATCGCAACCGCAGCCTTGCCCTCTTATCGGCAGCAGGCCTGCCCTCCGCAGCGCCTGCAAACCCTTCCCAGCGCCTTTGGCCTACTCCTGCAGCGCAGCCTTGCCTGCGTCAGGCGGGAGCCTGGGGAGAGAGCCCTGGAACGTGCAGCCCGTGCTCCTATGGGCTTCCAAAAGCGACGTTACCCCAAGGCTCCGCTTAGTCTATCTGAGAATAGGATATGTCTTATCCTATCATCAAGATAGTCTCGAGGCTATCATCAAAATAGACTATCCCAAAATAGTCTTTTTATGGTCTATTTTGAACTATTAAACTTTGATGAAAAACAAAAATCTCTGCGCTCAGAAAGCAGAAACACATCTTTTCCTGGAGCG